CAGCGAGCTGGCAGAGACAGCACAGCGAGGGGGCGGAGTGCTCCTCCCCAGACATGCACAGGTGTGAGCACACACACTGGGCATCCAACTAGAGCTTCGTGTGCATGCATGCTGGGCAAGCACTCCACCAACTGAAATGGATCCCCAGCCCCGGGAAGGCCTTTCTTTCTTTCTTTCTTTCTTTCTTTCTTTCTTTCTTTCTTTCTTTCTTCCTTCCTTCCTTCCTTCCTTCCTTCCTTCCTTCCTTTCTTTCTTTCTCTTTTTCTGAGACAGGGTTTCTCAATAGCTTTGGAGCCAGTCCTGGAACTCACTCTGTAGACCAGGTTGGTCTCGAACTCGCAGACATCCACCTGCCTCTGCCTCCCGAGTGCTGGGATTAAAGGTGTGTGCCACCACCACCCAGCAGGAAGGCCTTTCTTTTGTCCACTCCCATCTAAAACGGTTACTCATATAGTCTCTCTTTCCCTGTTTTATTTTTATTTGAGGATCCAGTCGTTAACACTGCACGGCTGTTTTTGTTTTATTAACTGCTGCTTTATGTTTTAAAATATTTTATTTATTTATTTATTTATTTATTTATTTATTTATGTATACAATATCCTGTCTGTATGCCTGAAGGCCAGAAGAGGGCGCCAGACCTCTTTACAGATGGTTGTGAGCCACCATGTGGTTGCTGGGAATTGAACTCAGGACCTTTAGAAGTGCAGGCACCGCTCTTAACCACTGAGCCATCTCTCCAGCCCCCTAAAATATTTTATTTTTGTGTTTGTACGAATGAGTGTCTGTGCGTGGATACGCACATGTGCGAGTGTAGGTGTCTGTGGAGGTCGAGGAGGGAGCTAGAAACCAGGGAGCGCAAGTTATGGGCAGCAAGAGCTGCCTAGTGTGGGGGCCCTGAGAAGAGAACTCAGTGCCTTTGGTTTGTTGTTTGTTTGTTTGGGATGAAGATGTGCACTGCCAAACCCAGCAGTTCCTTCCTAAGAGCAGCCTGTGCTCCTGACTGCTTAAGCCATTTTTCAGCCCTAACTGCAATCACTGAGAACCTTTTCTGCTACTGCTAGTTCCCCCACTAGACGTTAAGCTATCTGCAAGAATGTCAGGCAAGAGTTTGTCTGTGCTTTAACAAATAAAGCTTGCTTGAAGATCAGAGGGCAGAGCTAAGCCAGTAGGCCAGGCAGTGGTGCCACACACCTTTAGTCCCAGGACTCCGACCAAGGGATCTCTGTGAGTTCAAGGCCACCCTGGACTAAACTAGACTGACACAGTCTCAAAGAGGAATAGGCAGTGGTGGTCCACACCTTTAATCCCAGCACCAGGGAAGTGGTAGAAGCCCGGAAGTGGTCTGGCTGGGCAGAGAGAGCAAAATAAGGCGGGATGAGGAGCCGGGAGCTCAGTGCAGTCTGAAGCGGTCTGAGGACTCAGTCTGAGGACAGGATGGCCCTTTGGCCTGAGCATTGGTAGAGGGCAGAAGTCTCTCTAGTGGCTGGCCGCATTGCTTCTCTGATCTCTCAACTTTCACTGCCTGATATCTGACTCCGGGTGTTTATTATTAGGACTGATTAGAATTCGTGCTGCAGATGACCCCTTACTCTCAGAGTTTCTGTAGCCCAGGGAAGCCTTGAACTTAAACCCTCCTGCCTCGGTAACAGGAATTACACAGTACTTTGTGATTTACGGGTATGTGTCACCACGTTCAACTCTTGAAGCCTCTGTTTGAAATGGGGTGTGATGTTGCTCGGGCTCTCCTGGAACACGCAATAAAGCTGAGACTGGTCTTGAACTCCTGGACTTCCTGCTTTGACCTTCCAGTGCTGGGAATCGACGCACTACACCTCCAGTATCCATCTCCAGATGCAGAGCGTCTGCCCGACTGATGACGCCATGGCGCTAGAATGTGAAATGTTTGACTTCTGGTGCGCAGGCGCTTGTGCGGTGCAGCTCTCTCATCCAGGTGACCTTCTGAAAGGGTGAGGACAGCCAAGGCCTGAGCTGGGAAGCATCCCCTGCCTGAGCCTGGGACTCCTGTGGTCACTGTTGGGGTGGGGGGGGGTCTTCACCTCCAGGAAAAGGAATGGGAGCCTGGGAAATGGGCACAGAACAGGCCCAGCAGGCCCGACACAACTGAGTTTGAACAAGTCAGGCCTACTTGTCCAAGTTGCTGCTTGGGGCCTCAATTTTCTTTCTCTTTTTCTTTCATTTATTTATTTTTGAGACATGGTTTCTCTGTGTAGCCGTGTCTGTCCTGGAACCCTCTCTACAGAACAGGCTGGTCTTGAACTACAGATCTGCTCCCCACTCCCCAGCGTGGGATTAAAGGCAGGTGCCACCATCAACCACCCAGCTTGGGGCCTCAGTTTTTCTATCTATGTGTTGATAGAAATGGATTGTAGACAGAAGTACTCTAACGGCGCCTTCAGACTTTGGCCAACTGTCCAGCCTGCTAGGCTGACCTAGTCAGAACTTCCTTATTTATGTATTTAGTTTTTTTCTTTTTAACTCCTGATCTCCTGGGCTTCCCCCCAGGTGTTGCGATTACAGACAGGTACTGCTACACTTGGCTGCTGCTTCCTTTTTTTTTTTTTTCCATTTTATGTGAATGGCTGTCTGTTTCATCTGCATGTGTATCTGTGCCTGTTGCCGGTGGAGGCCAGTAGAGGGAGCCATGTCCTCCGGAACTGGAGTTAGAGATGGTTGTGAACCACCGTGAGTGTTGGGAATTGAACCCAGGCCCTCTGGGGAAGCAGTCCATGCTCTTAACCACTGAGCCGTTTCTCCAGCCCCCTTAGGTTTTTTTTTTTTTTTTGGTTTTTGGAGACAGGGTTTCTCTGTGGTTTTGGACCTGTCCTGGAACTAGCTCTTGTAGACCAGGCTGGTCTGGAACTCACAGAGATCAACCTGTCTCTGCCTCCCGAGTGCTGGGATTAAAGGCGTGCGCCACCACCGCCCGGCCCAAATATTTATTTATTATGTATACAATATTCTGTCTTGTGTGTATGCCTGAAGGCCAGAAGAGGGCACCAGACCCCATTACATATGGTTGTGAGCCACCATGTGGTTGCTGGGAATTGAACCAGGACCTTTGGAAGAGCAGGCAAAACTCTTAACCACTGAGCCATCTCTCCAGCCCCCTTAGGTGTTTTGAAACAGACTCTCACTACACAACTCAAGCCGGTATTGAACGTGTGTAGCTGAGGCTGGCCTAGAACCCACCATCCTCCAGCCTCTGCCTCTCCAACACGAGGATTACAACAGGCGTGTACCCCACCAGCCCAGAGCGTCCTCCTAAGCTGCCTCTGCCCTTGGGGTGAGCACAGGCCTTCCTTCCTTCCTACGCCCCAAGTTCAAGTCTCCACCCAGTTGCACACACTGTTACATGGAGAAGCAGCTTTACCAGCTCCACAGTGACCACCTCCCAAATGTAGGCCACTGGCTCTGAGGATCTAAGGCAAGGTCTGGAAAGTTCTAAGTTCCAGGGTCAGTTAAAAAAAGAAAAAAAAAATTGGAAATGAGAAGTCATTGCCCAGGGGACTGAACACAGATTCGGGAAACAGGTGTTCCAGGTCTGAGTATTGTCTTGTATTTCCTAGCTCTATGACCTCAGCCTCAGTTTCCTCGTGACTTCCAGATGAGGACGATGTGACCCGTTCGGGGATGTTGGTGAGGCATGTGCAGCACCCTTGGTACAATGCTGTGCCCAGAGGAAACACTGGTGGAGGGAAACCCTCACTGTAAGGGAACTTGCATGGCAGAAACATGCTCTGCATGCCTGAACCCAGAACTAGCTACTGTGGCCAGACTGTGGGTGTCCTCACACTAAGAGTCTAATATTCTGCTTCCTGGCCCTGGGTGCTGAGGTTCTTGCAAGCTGGTGTCCTGGGTCCGGTCCGAGGGGCAGTGACATCTTGCCGTGTCAACCACACTCTTCTCTGGGTCTCCAGTTTCCCGGATTCCTTAGGGAGCCCACTCTCTTGGCTCCACTCCACACCATGCATAATGCACAAACACAAATATTTATCAAAAAATCGTTTTTTATTGACCAGGGTTGGGGATTGGACAGGAATGCACTGGGGACCATACCCCGATTGGCAGAGGGGTGGGGTACTGGCTCTTGCCCCGCCTCCTCTAGGGCACCTCAGGGTAAGGCCTGGCCCCCAGGCCATGGCTGTGGCGCTGAAAGCCAGGCTGAAGTGGAGATGGGGGTGCGTTTTATAGTCCCGACTGCCCCGCCGGGTTGCAATTCCCCAAAATGGCCACCAGAGGGAAGCCGGGCCTCAGCGCAGAGGATTTCTCGGTTACTCAGGTGATGGCTTCTTAAAAAAATAAAAAAAACCAGAGGCTGGTGTGTTCCTCCTGCAAACCCGAGCAGTGCGGGCCTGGGGAGGAAGCTCTGGTTTCTATGATCTCTCTGATAAAAAATAAGCAAAATTAACAAAATACGTGGTTTTTCTTTCTCCATCCTCCCGCTCCGGGAACTGAGGTCAGAAATGGGGACAAGGAGGCTGGCTGGGGACACCCTAGTGCAGACTAGATTTCATAGTGTGGGTCTCTTTTTCCCCCTCTCCCCCATAAGTAAATTTATAAATAAATATATAATAAATAAATAAATATACTTTTTTGTATGTTCACATATATAGCAATAAATCTTTCATCTAGGCAACTAAGTGATTATCCTCTCTGACTCTGGAGCTTCGAAATTCAAAAGTAAAGTGACGTAGTCAAGGTCAAGACTCAGGGAAGGAAGATCAAGGACTTGGAATGGTACTGTAAAATTCCCAGCATTCTGGAATTGCAAACCACTTGGAACATTCTAGAACCATGCAGCCAGCTGGGCTGGATCCCTGAAAGAATCTTGAACAAGATCCGAAAACACCCAATGTCTTAGAACTCCAGAACCAGCTGGGTCTTAAGGGTGCGGAGCTAGGGGGTTGGAACTAAGCCCCGGTGAGCCTAACACTCTGGACTTCTGTAGGAGTCAAGGCCACAGAACCACCAGGATGGAACTAGACGTCACTAGGGGACCGGGACCGGAATGGAATCTTGGAAGTAGAACAGCAGCAGCAGATGGCCCACAAGACCTTCTGCACGTCTTGGTTGCGGAAGGCGTAGATGATGGGGTTGATCATGGAGTTGTAGGTGGCCGGGAGCAGGGTGAGATAGGTATAGAGATACGGAGAGTTGGCATCTCCCAGGAGGCAGTAGACAGTGAAGGGCAACCAGCAGGCAGCAAAGGTGCCAAGCACCACGGCCAGTGTGGCGATGCCCTTGCGGGTGGCCACGTAGTGAGAGGCAGGCAGCAGGTGTCGTTGGAGGGCAATCTGTTGGGCATGGCGGCAGACGATGCGGCAGATCTGGGCGTACAGCTGCAGCATGATGCCAAACACCATGAAGAAGGCAACAGCCAGGACCACCAGATGGTTCTTGGAGAGTGGGTATACCACACCACACGTGGTCAGGCCATCCTGGCAGTTCCAGGCCAGCACAGGAACCAGCCCCAGGCCCAGGGCACCCACCCACACCAGGGCCAGCATCACATAGGTCCGAGTTACTGTCGTCTCCGAGTAATAGGTGAGAGCGTTGTACAGGGAAAGGTAGCGGTCAACGGTGATGGCCAGCAGGCTGCCAATGCTGGCAGTAAAGGCCATGGCTAGCACGCCAACCAGCACCAGGGTCATCTCTTGTGAGCCAATGCAGAAGACAGCTGCAAAGTACAGGACCAGGCCCAGGCCTGCCAGCAGGTCTGCCACGGCCAAGCTACCCACCAGCAGGAACATGGGGGCACGGAAGGCAGGCGTGCCTACGATGATGGCCACCACCAGTGCATTCTCGCAGGACACGAGGGTGCCCGAGATGCAGAGCACCACGTCCCAGGCCTTGGGAGAGGGCAGCAGTGTAGCTGGGCCTGTGGGTTCCTCTGCAGGGTCCACACCACTCACGTTCAGGCTGCCTGAGCCAGCTGAGAGCCAGGCCATGGAGCTGCCTGTACCCCAAATCATGGTACCTGTAGAAGAAAGGCCCTATGAGATGCTGGCAGGCCTGTGTCCTGATAAGAGGTCCTTGGAAGAGATACCTCTCTGGATAACAAGTAGGGTACCATTGCTCTGTCCCCCAGTTCATGTCCTGAGGCTCTTGCCCCATGCTTTGTCCTCTGATGCCCCGGGGCCTCTAAACAGGGGCCCCCTTTCCTGGCCATTTCTCCCCTGTGTCTCTTCACCCCCCTTTCCATTCCTGTTAAGTCTTAAAGACCTCTTTGCCACATGTGGTCAGAGAAGTGGATCAAAACTTACCGTAAGTGAATGGGGGAAGCACAGAGATTCAAGGTGAACCTTAAAGACTCATGACTAGAAGAGGGAAACATGTCAGGAAGGAGGGCAGTCAGCTCCCTGCCGTCAGAGATGACTCGGTTCCTGAAGCTCCCAGACCCCTCACGATTCGCAGCGCTGCCAGCCTCAGGCTCCGCCCCCGGGCAGAGCCGGTGCAGCTCCTTGCCAGCCCCCAATCGACATTCCCAGGGTAACACCTGGGAACTCGTGTCCCTCATTTCCCCCCCACTCTCTTCCAGACTTCTGTCTCCGGACAGACACCTCCCGCGCTTTCTCCATCTAACCCCCGGGTCTCCGTCGCAGACACCCCCCTGGTAGAAGTCTGGATTCCTGAATCAGACCCCTCCTTCGGCCGGGACACCTGGATCTCGGGCCTGACTCCGCCTCCGGTCTCGGATAGTTGAATCCCTAAATAAGACACCTCCCGCTTCTCGGACGCCCAGGTGCCCGCCCCAGATGCGTCCTGCCCCCTCAATATCAGATGACTGCCCGCCCCTCCAGGGCCTCGGGTCCCGCAGGAATGAATGTTCACCCTTTGCCGGGTCACCCCATCACACCGCTCGAGCACCTTAACACTTGGGGGAGCTGCATGCTAATGCAGAATCTGCTAATCCAGAATCTCCGCTTCGACCTCCCGACCCCGAGCAGCCACACGCAGCCATCCGCCGGCCCAGCGCCCCTGAACCCTGCGTGTCTTCCCAGACTCTGGGTGCCCGCGGCAAAGCCCGCTACTCACCGCTCAGGACCGGGTGCGGCCGGGCCGCGGGGAACCTCTACTCAGGTCCTGGCAGAGCAAGGTGTGCGCGGACCCCAAGAAGCCCCCGCGGCCGCGGGAGACGCGGCGTGAGTCACCCCGCCCCGCCCCCGGCCACCAGTTTGGTGACGTCAGAAGCCCAGTCGACCAATGGGCGCGGCGCGCTGGAGCGCAACGCGCGCTGCGCGGCATAGTAATAAGGTCTCGCGCCGCCCGCTCCCCCATTCATAAAAAGTGACCGTGGCCGCGGCCCCGCCCCCTCGGGAGCCGGCCCGCGCTGTCCTTGACGCGGCGCCCTCTGCGGGTCGGGGGGCTTTGGGGAAGCTTAGGGAGGACCTCAGAAAAGACTCAGGGAAGCCACTGAGGATGTGGGAAGAGGACTAGGGACCGGGAGAGTCTGCGGGGGTGACGAGCTCCCTCGGGTGTCAGAAATAAGCTGACACAAGACAGGTGATGGAGCTGAATGGGCGTCCCCGGTGAGGATGACAGGCTTTGCCTCTGATAGGGCCCTGAGGTGACAGTGACAGGAGCACGAGGGAGTAGGGAGGTGGGTGGCTGTGACGATATGAGCGTGGTGACAAGATCTTGGAGGACGGTGGCTGTGGGACGTTGATGGTGGGGGTAGGGATAGGGCTCGTCAGGGCAGCCAGAGCAGTGTCAGGGTGACTGCAGCATGATGAAGCTCGGGGACCCCAGGGTCTCGGAGGTGGTGACAAGGCTTTGAAGATGAGTATTCCGGTGAAGGAACTTCAGGTCACTGTGACCCTGTCACGTGCTAAAGGACCGAGGCGACAAGGCTAGATGAGGACTGTGGGGTCCTGGAATGAAGACCAAATGACTTGTGAGTGGGCCCCAGAGCGAGGGGACAGGGTAGGAAGACGGTGACCCAGCAGGTAAGTTGCTGCCAGGACAGGTCCCGTGATGCTGGGGCTGGGATAAGGAACTCGGTGACGTCACTTATGTGGGCCCAATAGCGTCCTCGCAGCACGGGAGGGTTCGTCTGGCAAGATTTCAAAATCTGAATTATTTATTGAAAGATCTGGAAAGCCAGTGCGGGGAGGTGGGGTGGGGGTCACTTCCCCGAAGCAGCAGGAGACAGGGAGCCGGGAAGAACTTGGAAAGGGAAGGACTGGGCAGCTCTATGCTCAGAGCAGCCTCTCTGAGCGCCCAGCTTAGGTACCCCAGTGGGTGGGGCAGGAGGAAAACTTCTTTCCCAGCCCTTCTTGCTCAGGCACTAGAGAAAGCCCTTTCAGTGACCCCTGTAACCCTAGGACCCAGTGCTGCCCCCTCTCCCCTTGATCTTCTCTGGAATGTTCAAGACTGTAAGGAGGGTGATGGGAATCAGGAGTTAGGGTAGGGTAGGAGGCTGAGGGAAGGAAGGCCAACAGGCATATAACATCAGACCCTCTTAGATCCGTTGGAATCAGGGCTGAAGACAACGGCATATTGCATATTTTGGGTCGGATATGGTGAGTTCAGTTGGTAGGAGTAGCCCAGCTTTGAACCCTGATCCATTTCCTAGTTGTGTGACTTTGAGGAGTGAGTCTCTCAAGCTCTCTGAGCCTGTTTTTTTTTATTTTTTTGTTCTGTTTTTCACTTCTAAAATAGTGATATTAGTACCTACTGGGAGGCAAATACACTGGCTTTCTATTGGCTGTCAATGGTATATTTGGTCAGTGGAGGACACCAGCGAAGCATAGGTGGGCACCAAGGAAATGAAAAGTGATAAAATAAACAAATTAACTAATTAAATTGAAAGAAAGGAAGGCAGAAAGTGAGGATTGGTGACAGGAATCGCTGCCTTTGAGGGACCAGGTAGATGAGACCCGCCTGTTGACGGCTCTTAGTGTGGGCTGGTCTTGTGTGTCAAATCCTCTGCTCCCTCCAGAGCTCTGCTTTTAGCCTCTTCCCAAACAGGCTTCCTGGGAACCCCCATCACAGATGGCCAACTAATCCTGTCCCTGTCCCTCCCCTCCTCTATTTAGCTTTGGAGCCTGTCCTGGAACTAGCTCTGTAGACCAGGCTGGTCTCGAACTCACAGAGATCCGCCTGCCTCTGCCTCCCGAGTGCTGGGACTAAATGTGTGTGCCATCACCGCCCGGCTAATGTGTGCAGAACTCTTAAAATACTCATCCAATATTTCTCTTTCTGTTTGCTAGGAGTCTGAGTCTGTCCCACTGTAGGCTAAGCAGTGACTGTGTCTAGTTTGTGCTGGGACAGTGCCTGACATACAATGGCAGTCAGTAACTATTGTCTGTTGCCTGAAGAAAGGCAACAGAACAGCCAAAAGGAGAAACAAATGGAGCAGTGACGAGGTCAGCCTGGTCTACAGAGCGAGTTCCAGGACAGCCTGGTCTACGGAGAGAGTTTTAGGACAGCCAGGACTACACAGAGAAGCCCTGTCTCGAAAACTAAAACAAACCAACAACAAACCACTCGTATGTAGATAAAATAATAAATATCTAAGCAAATTACAAAGAAACAAACTCAGAGAGAGAGAAACACAAGGAGACCGATAGTCCTTGTGGGGGTGTGTCCAAGAAAGAAGACAGCACCCCAAGACTTGGACATCGACTCCTCCCCATTTTGAGCCAAGTCCCCCACAGAGTTCTGGTCCCAGAGCAGGGGGCAGGAATGAGGTGCTAGGGCTAGGGCAGGGCTGGGATGGAAACTGCATTTGAGAAACACTTGCCCTTCTGAGTGGCTGATTTGGAGCTCACCGGTGCGCTGGCTAGTGAGACTCGGCGCTGGTAATGGACACACACACACACACACACACACACACACACACACACACACGCCCATAATCTCAGCTCTTGGGAGGTAAAGGATCAGGAGTTTGAGGTCTTCCTAAGCTACAGAGTCAACCTGGACTACATGAGACCCTATACCAAAATAAAAACAAACTCTTGTCACTATAAGTCAAGTCCTCAAAGGTGCTCCTGTCACGTTCCAACACTGACCTTTGGCCTCTCCATTCTGTCCACCTGTCCCTACAGATATTTTCTTCCTCTTTTTTTTTTATAAATTAAAAAATTTAAACTTATTTTTAAAATTTATTTAGCTTTATTTTTATGTTGATCGATGTGAAGGGGTCAGATCCCCTGGAAGTGGAGTTACAGACTGTTGTGAGCTACCATGTGGGTGCTGGGAAATAAACCCAGAAAAGCCAGGGCTGTTTCACAGAGAAAACTTGTCTCAAAAGGATTGTGATTCTTATTTGTTTGTATGTGTATGTTTCTAGGTTGAGTATGTGTGGTACTCATAGAAGCCAGAAGATAGTATCAAATCCCTTGGAGCTGGGGTAATAGGTGGTTGTGAGCTGTCTGGATGGGCGTTGGGTCCTTTAGAAGAGCGGCAAGTATTTATTTATAACTGCTGAGCCATTTCCCCCTCCCGACCCCACCATCCCCATCCCAACCCCAACTCCACCATCCCCATCCCAACCCCGACCCCACCATCCCCATCCCAAACCCGACCCCACCATCCCCATCCCAAACCCCGACCCCACCATTCCCATCCTAATCCCTTCTCTTGAGATCTTCAGTTCTTACAGGTCATATCCTACAATCTGTGTTTGGATTAATTTTTCTTTATAGAATAATCACGAATTCCATCTAAGCAAGTTGTGTGTCCCCCCCACAGTGCCCCCAACATCCTGCCACCAAAATAGGTTATGAATCTAAATATGAAGATGACATCCTGTGTGGTCCTGGACATTTGGGCTAGTTTTCCTCTTCAAATTTCTGTCTTGGGGACAGTCATCCCAGGGCGAAAACATTAACGACCGTTTGTTTCTGCTGAAGCAGGCAGATGGTCGTGAACTTCCTCATCTGCCTGTCACTGTGTGCTTTATAGCAAAGGTTGCCTTTCTGGCTGCCAGGGAGGGAACGTGTGAGGGTGTTTCTAACTTGAGAAC